GCGGGCAGCGCTGCCGCGCGTGGAGGTGTCTCCGGGAACTGGCCTCCCACGCTTCCTCCAGCATCCGCCGGGACGCCGTCCCTAAAAAAGCTCCTTGTGGTCGCAGGATGACGAGACGGGCTGGCAGTTAATGACCGACTGCATCGGCCCTGTGTTTTGACTGCTAAATTTATTCCGTTCACACACTTCCCGCCATGACACGCACGAACAGCTATGGTGTCACCCACGCCAAGCACCAGACCCCAGCCTGGGGATGGCATCCACGTAATGTTTGTGTTTGGGAGTGGTGTTTGCCCCGTGCCATGGGAGAGAATGCTGAAACCTTCAGGCGACCATTCCCCCGCCAGGACCCAGCCTTCCCCTGCACACAAAACACTGTGCTAGAAGGAGATGACATCCCTATTTTCATGCCCATACAAGCACTTTGCAAGGGAGACAGGAAATACTACATGGCAGTGTACAGGGATGATCCCAGGCCCTGAGCAGAGGGAATGTAGCTCCCCAGCGCTTTTTCCAGCTGCTGGCCAGGGGATGAAACCTCTGCTCTGGAAAACACAGGCCACAACCACGTGCACAGGTGTATTGGCATGCATATATGCCCATACGTATATATATGCCTTATATATAGGAATATATACGAACACACATACACACACCATATATACCCCAGGGTTTCTTGGTGTAGCACGGATTACCTACTGCAAACAACACAGCTGGCAGCACAGAGAGCCCCTGCTCATTCACAGATAGTGCGAGAGGGAGCTCCCAAACCTCCACGGGTGCACACCTACGCCCCGACACAGCGCAGCCTCACCTCTCTGCCCGTGCGGTTTAGGACAGGACCAGTGTGACCTGGCTGTACATCCAGCTTTTTCCTCTGCCCCAACCTGGCCGGAAGGAAGGAGACTTCCTTGCCTGTATTTGGGCATTGCTAAATCCCCCGTGCTTGCAACACCCCTTCTCTGCTAATAAAGACACACCGCAAGTGCAAATAGACTGCTCTGAGCAGGCAGCGTGCCTCTGCTCTGCAAGCTGGGCTGTCTCCACAGCCAAGACATGGATGATGGGCACAGCCACCGGGCGAAGGGGCCAGGAGGGTGTTTCACTGCAGGGATAAGTGTAAATGACGGCATTGATGCTCTGAGAGGAGCATTTGCACATCCTTCCCGGATGGGAGGAGGTGTTCCTGCTGCCTGGGTAGAAGAAAGAGGCCTTCAGAGACCAGAGCCGCGCTCCGGGGAGCTGCATGGCAGGAGAAGCCCGTGAAGCACAGTGTGCCCACAGCAGCAAATGGCTCCTGGCCTGAGTTAAACCACGACACCTGCCCTGCTGTAAAGCCCTGGCAACACAGAGTCACCTGCAGTGGCCCTTTGGTGCAGGGACACAAATTTGCAGAGGTGGGGGCACAGTCAGGGAACATGGTGAGGGATACAGGTTTATGGGGATTCACAGAAAATTCTGGCACTGCAAGACAAGTGATTTAAGGAAACTTGAAGAGGGCCAGGATTAAGCCAGGGCTCTGTAAACTGCAGATCATCTGAATTTGCCCATATATATCATCTGCAGACAAGAGCACACAGAAAGCATCCCCCGTGCTGTGACAGCACTGCGGCTTGACAGAGCGCCTTGTGCAAACCAGGTGTGTCGGTCTGCTGTTGTGGATGCCTGCCTAATCTCACCCTCCAAAACCTCCTGCCTTTCCACCCTTCATCACCAGCCAGGGGACCACGCGTGTCTGCCCTGAGAGGACTGCACACGGACCACGTGGCTGCCGAGTGCGACGAGCATCTTTGCTCTCCTTCCTCCAGGGCCCAGCAAGCTGCTTGATCTCAGCATGCACACACCTTCGGCAGATGTTTTCCCTTTTTTTCCCTACCCGACCCCTGCCGCAGATGCTGTGGGACGTATTTTCCTCTTGACCTGTGACAAAATTATACCCCTGTCCCCAGCCAGATATGAGTTCACGCTGACAACCTTTTTTTAGGCATTTCCAACAATTACCATGGGTTTTTTATGTCAGACCTGCATTTAACTCAGGCCCCAAAGACCTGGTGCCGCCTCACGTCCAAGCACCGCTGTGCAAGAAGGTGATAAACACCAAGCTGTGCATAACCGGCTTTTTAATAACGCAGGTCACTTGCTGCCCCACTGGACACCCACCGTGAGGTCACCTCACTCCACTCCAATGGCCCCAGAACAAACATAGCACCAGTGCACCCAACAGCACTGGTTCCTAGCACCCTGACCTGACCCCAAGTCCCTGCAACCTCCAATAGCCCTGGGGTGAAAGACCAAGGTCTGTCCCCCAAATTCCTTCCAGAAAGCATCCCACAGCATCAGCCAGACTACCCGAGCAGCTCTGCCGTTATTTTGCAAGGAAAGGAAACCTCAGTCCACACACTGTAACCTTATAATAAGCCTTTAAAAACAAAGAAAACCAATAATATTTAGGATTATCATTACACCAGAAGTGAGAAATGGACCGAGGGTGGGGAAGCGGCCGTCTGACTAGTGTTTTAAATGCCACTGTGCCTTTCCCCAGGTTCTACTCTCCTGAGATGCTGCATCCCTGGAGATGGCCGGGACAAGGAAGATGTAGGGCAAGGAAAATGGGGAAAACCTGGCCAGGCTAAAGCTGGCACCCTCAGGCTACTGGGGAGGAGGTGGCTGAGTCAGAGACCAGAGGACTGGCAGAGCTGGTAAAAAGATGCAGGAATATCACTTTTTGTTTGACAAGTTGGACTGTGCTGTGCTTGTGAGGATGGGGAAAAGAGATGAGCGCAGACAGCAGAAGGGGTTAGAGATGCCAAAACTATGAGGAAAGCTGGCACTGCAGAGAGCAAGCTGACGGTGGAGGCATGGAACAGCCACTCTCCTCCATCAATTAAGACACCTTGGCATCAAAGATTCACAAAATCAATTTTGTTTCCAAAAAACTGCCATTCCCTCTTTTTTTTTTTTTCAGTCCAAAGTATTTTTGTAGTATTTATGTTGCTGGTACACTTCTCTCCTGATTATACCTATGGGTTTTCACAGCATCATCAAAAGGAAAAGGGTCAATGAACTGGAAGAGATCAGGATGAGAGCAGGACTCATGGCACACATCCTCGGCCCTTTCCCAAACATTCAACACCAGCTGCTGCCTTATGCTCAGATCCAAGCCCAAGTCCCTTTGCAGAGCACTCACTGGTGTTAGGTGCTACAACGCAGCACTGCATTTTCAGTTGGGAGCAAGTAGGAAAAACCTTGCCTCCTAAATATTCCTTTCCCCAGTACTGCCACGTTAGCCCCAGGAATTACCCAGCGCCCAATCCTAAGGGGTTCATTCCCACACTGCTCCTATAAAAAAAGAATCTGCAGCCTTGCAAGCCAGCCATGTTCTTACATCGCTACCTGCTTTGCAGGTGGAGAGCCCACGGCTGGTGGCTGCACGTGCAGCTGGGAGCAGCAGTCTGGCTATGGCTCCTCCACACATCCAAGGGATGTGATCAGGGGGGTCGTGTCTGTTCCCTGAAGTCTGAGTAAACATCACCTGCATTTCATAGCATTAATGTGACGCATAATGCAGTAACTAATGGTAACATTTTAGGTTTCTGAAGAACAGCACTGATATTTCAATTCCTCCCAGCAGCAAGCCTCAAAGTTATAAACACTGTGATATACGGCAGATGGAAGCTACCATTGTGTTTTGCACTGCGCGGAGGCGTGCACAAGTTTGGTTTATGCTAAGCCGTTAAAATTTGCTATTTCTCCTCACTGGAAAAAAACACATCATAGGAGCCTGACTCCTGGAGCTCTGACACACACAAACGCTAGAGCCCTGCACAAGACCAACAGCCCTCTCCCCTTGCCCCCACCAGAACGGGGTTAGGATCATTAAGCCACCCTTACGTGTATACCATGGAGTTTCCTTTACAGCCAGAGAATACAAGCACTTTTAAGGTACCGACCGTTTGCCTTGTTTCAAGCTGAAATGCATCACAGACTGAAGATGCCATGACACTGACGAAGGAAGGTGACC